TATCATTGTGCTGTATGTTAATCATTACACAACCATGTGAGATGGCAAAAACAGAATAATCATTTTATATCAAATATTTTGTTAACTAGTTCTGTTTTTTCTTTCTTTTCTACCTTTCTTCCCTCCTTCCTTCTTTCATCCCTCCTTCCTTTACTTTCCACATTCCTTCCCTCCTTTCTCCCACTGCCCCCCATTCTTCCTTCATTACTTTCTTCCCTCCTTTTCCTTCCTTTTTTCTTTCCCTCTACATACCTTCCCTCCTCTCCTTCCTTTTTTTCCTCCCCCTTCCTTCCTGTCTCCCCCACCCTTCTTTATCCTTTCCTCCTTTTTTCCTAACTCCCCCACTCCTTCCCATCTTCCTTTCCTTCCTCCTTTCTTCCCACCTTTATCATCATTTCTTTCCTCCCTCTCTTTCTTCCTCCCTCCCTTTCTTCTTTCCTGCCACCCTTCTTTTGTTCTCTTTTTCCTTTATTCTTTTTTCCCACTCACCCTCACACCCTTCCTTCCCTCAATCCTTGCTTCCTCCCCTTTCCCTCTCTCCTTCCTTTTTTCCTCCCCTCCATTCACCTTCCACCCTTCCTTCGTCTTTCCACTCTTCCTTACACCCTTCTCTCCTCCCTTCCTTCCTTTTCTCTTCCCTCAGCCCCCTTCCTTCCTTTATTATTTCCTTACCTCACTTCCTTCTTTCCCTCCTACATTCCTTCCCTCCTTTCTTATTACATTGCTTCCATCCTTCCACCCTCCCTCTCCTTATTCCCTTCCCTTCATTCTCTCTACCCTTCCTTCCTCTCTTTCCTTCTTCCTCCTTCCCTCCCTTTCTCCCTTCTCTCCTTCTTTTCATCCCTCTTCCTCCTTCTCTTCTTTTCCACCTTCCTACTCTCCTCCCTTCTCTCCTTCCTCCCGCCAACCCCTTCCTTGCTGCATTGTTTCCTTCCCTCCTTTTCCTTCCTTTCTTCTCCTTACTGCCCATGGTTCATAGACCATACAAAGCATTATGGACTTTAAAAAAATGTGGCCGGGCAAATTTGGACAGAATTCCAAATCTGAACCTCAGTTCTCTTCAAAGTCACCTAAAGGTCTGTCTGACTTTTGTCACCCGATAGTTCCCATTGGTCCACACTAACAGTTCTCTGAATTATTTCCCCTGTTGGATGGATTTCATCTTCAATGTCCAAGTTAAACTCCAGACTCAAAACTTTTTTTAAGTTGTATACAGAGGGAAAGGTCATCACTTCTGTCCATAACTGTCTGTATTCCGCTCCACCAGTGAATCCATTACTAAACAATCCTATTCCTATTGTCTTATCTTTATAGCAGCATATCACAAGGACCGGCAGAAACTATGACTGGGATTTATGTGGTAAATAAATAGTTTTAAATATTATTTTTCTACTGAAAAGGTGACAATTTTCTGGGAGCGCCAATCCCCACGTGTTTTTGGATATACGTTTTTTTATTTGATTTCACTGGCAACATGTCCTAATCCTATAATGTCCTCTAATCCGCAGATGGTTTGCAATTACAGAAGGATATTGATGTAAAATAATTGTAGGAAAAGCAAAGAGGCCATTAGAAAATTCATTATAACACGTAGCTCCGGGACATAAAATGTGATATTAAAACAGCAGTGTAGTAAACGCACATTGACATGACAAATACTCCGCCACTGCTTTATAAACTGATACGAAATATTCCAGAAATACCATTTCCCATTAGTTTACAAATCCTTTATTCCAATGGCTCCCAAGGAGACTGTGATGTATCTAAAGATAAGTGACAGGTCCCCTTTACAGGTAACATGCATTACTAGTTGTGTAGGGATCAGTCCAGGTTGAAATGACGCTGTCGTGGAGCATGATTGCGTGGTAAACTTTGTGTGACTTGTACTAGGCAAGTTGTTTCCAGAGAAGAAGAGGCCACTGACCGAAAGAACTTAAATGGTAAACACTAATGTGAGAAATGATAAATGTCACTTAAAATTGCTCCCCCCTCCCAGCACTGACTAACTACTTTAGCACCCCATGCCCCCCCTACCAGCAGTGATTTAGCAGCTGAGTTACATAGTTACATAGTTAGTCAGGTTGAAAAAAGACACAAGTCCATGGAGTCCAACCTAAGCTTCCCCTACTCTCCCTCCCAGTAGTAATTCAGCATCTCATCTCCCCTTCCCAGCAGCGACTCAGGAGTTCAGCTCCAACTGCTCCCTCTCCCTGCTGTGAATTAGCACCTTAGCTCCCCCTGCTACCTGTTTCAGCAATGATTCCGCACCATAGCTCCCCCTGCTACCTGTTTTAGCAATTATTCCACACCTTAGCTCCCCCTGCTACCTGTTTCAGCAATGATTCCGCACCTTAGCTCCCCCTGCTACCTGTTTCAGCAATGATTCCGCACCATAGCTCCCCCTGCTACCTGTTTCAGCAATGATTCCGCACCTTAGCTCCCCCTGCTACCTGTTTCAGCAATGATTATGCACCTTAGCTTCACCTTCTCCCTCCTTCCAGCAGTGATTCAGCACCACGGCTCCCCCTGCTCCCTATCCCTGAGGTGATTTGGCAGCTCAGACCACCCTGCTTACCCTCCCAACAGTGACTTGGCAGCCAAGCTTCCCCTGCACCCCCCTAACCAGCAGTTACTCAGCAGCTCACTCTGACTCTCACAGCAGACTTGGCAGCTGAAATAGTTGAAAAGATCATCTGTGACACCCAGGAACCATCTAGAAGACATTGCATTCTCTAAACAATACTTCCGGAATTTAAAAAAACGTACCCTTGCAGTGGGGCTACCCCAGCACAGCAAGGGTTAAGTGCTCATTTTGTGTAGAGGGGTAAAATAAAGCTGATATACTCACCTGACCCTCGGTCCCGTAGCGGTTGCCACTCACCTCTGCCAGTGGCGTCACAAGGGGGATGTGCGTCCCGCACCTGGGTGACACCATTGCAGGGGTGACACCAAAATGACTCACAGTCATTTTGGTGTCACCCCCTCTAAAAAGTCGGGCACTTGGTCATGGACCGAGAGCTTGACAGTGTCAGAAGAGAGAAGGGGACCCGGACTCATACCTCATCCTACCGGGTGAACGTCCCCTCCTCTCTCTGCCGGGGTCCATCACCAAGATGGCCGCCGGCAGGCGTCAATCAGATGGCCTCGCATGCGCGATGATAACACGGCGGGGTGCCACCCGGTCTAGAGACCCCCCTGACCTCTGCCCCTCCGCCCTGGCTATGAAATGTCTCTAGGCATCCTCACCTCTAATGCAAATCAATGACCTGCATGGGACATGATGATGTCACTGATCCTTAGACCGCTGGAGCCTGGGGGAGTAGAGGCTGCAGGGACCAATCTAGCAACTCTGTGGGACCAAGGATCAGGTGAGTATATCTGCTTTATCTGAGTCCCCTACCCAAATTGAGCATGTAACCCTTGCAGTGCGGAGGTAGCCCCACTGCTACGGAAAGTGTTTTTAAACTCTGGAGTTCTTTAAAACTATTAAAATTTCTTTAAAGTGTAACTTCAGTCTACAAATACTCTCCCCTCCTGCAGTGATGCCACGCCTGTGAGTCCCCTCTGCCGGCATCACTCTCAGTCTTCTTCCAGAGACAGGATCTTCAGCTGAATCATTTGATCACGTCGGTCACTCTGCATGAGACAAAAAGCTTATGTGCAGCCCTTTTTTCTTTTTTTTTTTTTAGCTCTGGTTAGGAAAGGGTTAAAACCCCTATCATTTAATTTTTGCTGCCTACGTGACCCCGGGGGAAATTTCCCTTCACTTCCGGTCCCAGAAATGCGACAGAAAGTTAGAGGAACTCTCCCAAAGTGAGGTGTCTCTGGAACAGGTGTCCCCGTTGGATTTTTCCCCTAATTATTTTTCTGGGGACAACTCTAAGGCCTTCTTCACACCAAATGCAGAGCAGATCCGCTCAGGTTTCTGCACACGCAGTGCAGTGGGTTGTGCCGCGTTTTTGCCACGTTTTTGATGCGTTCCGGGCCGTTTTTGGTTAAAGAAAAATATATATATTTGTTTTAGTTTAACATGGGCTTTCAGTGCGTTCCAGGCATTTGCATGCGTTTTTGATTCGTTCCAGAGCAGGTAAAATAGGACTTGCTGCAGTTTTTTTTACCTGCTCTGCAACTGCACGCTGCGATGTGAACTGGAGCAAAAAATACCATTGGATTACACTGGACGCAGTTTTGATCGGGTCTGCAACTGGTCTGCTCTGCACCGGCTCCGCGCTTTTCCCCTCACTTTTTGTTTTTTGGTGACAATGGACATACACAGCTCCAACCAGACAACCAATCAGCTTCTGTATTTAACTTTGAAGTGAGAAGCTGATTGGTTACCATGGGCAACTGCTCCAAATTATGTCTACACACACTATAGCAGGGGCGGCCAACTCCAGCCCACCCACTGTGCTTTATAGATCCCATCATGCATCTGTCCCTGGGAGTCATGCCTATGACTGTCAGTCTTGCAATGCTTATGGGACTTGTAGTTCCACAACAGATGGGGGGCGGGCAGTTGCCCACCCAGTCCTAGAGGCTACTCTGAACTACAAATACCACCAGCCTGAAAAAATATAAAAAGAATGCAGCTACCAAATCTAAGGACTGGTGCACTGCAATATAATATATTCTGGTTATTTGGTGTAGATATCCTTTAATTTCACCTTCCCCATTGACTCTGATGCCTTCTGCCTCGGTGGAGAAGTTTCAGGGAAATCTGTTTTTTGCCGACATTTCGTGGCAATGAAAACTCTCGGTTGGCATACAAGGATCAGACATCAAATGGGCTTCTAATATTCTCAGGGGTGCCAGCAGCCCCCGAGCACCTTACCTGGCCAGGTGAGCGCAGGGCACAGTGAGCCTACCGCTCTGCCTGGAATGAGTGCTCCACCCTGATCCACACCCGCCACCGGGGCACGCCACATGCCCGGCGCGGCAGCGGGCACAGGACGCGGGCACCGGCCATCCATGACCCCCCAGCCCGTCTGATGAGCTGCCCCCGGCCCCCCGGACCATGAGGCGGATGGCTCGCCGGCTGGTGCTGTCACTGATCGGGCTAGTGTGGGTGGCCATCCTCATCTTCTTGCTGGGCGGCAGGAGGAAGTTGGAAGCCGAAGAATCCGAAGGGGACGGTGCCAAGGTAAGCCCGGGCATCACTT